ACAACCTTAAATAGTACAACCTATATGCTGCTATCATTTATGTTATGATTTATGGTTTTTTGTCTGTTATTGATGTCTATAAATAAATATATTATTTGAGAGCAAAATAAAAAAAAAAAGTGCATAATATGAGAGACTAAGAGAGAAATAGGGGCTGTCAAGGGTAACAACTCTGTTGTAATGTACAGTAATATATGTGAGTAGTGGGAGTTGAGTTTAACTGAAGTAATTCTCCTTCTCCATATATGTTATAATTCTTTCTTTGTTTCTCTTTAATAATATTTTTTTTTTCCGTGGATTTAGATGATTTGTCGAAACACGTTAAATATTATGCCAGTGTACTTAACCTTCAAAGAGTAATTATCAGTACATCACCAATTCAAATCCCTAATAATAATTTATTATATAAAAGTCATAAGTTACATTAGAAATATTGCTTCTCTCTCTTAGTTGTCTATCATGAATTTCTAATATATATGAGCCCCGTAAGATAAAAGAAGAAGAAGGATGTTAATTTTGAGGGACTTTTCAAATTAATTTTAGCATGTACCTGAGTTTCATGCCATTTAAATTTCAATTTTTCCTGTGGAAAAAAATACAAGTAAAATGATGCAAATGAGGGGACTAGACTAGGGAGGATTGGAATAATGAGAAGTCAAGAAATTATGCGTCTTGTCCCAAAAGCTACGTGGTTGATTTGATTTCCTTATGCAGTGGACTTTTATGGTTTTATTTGGAGTATTGATTTATCTAATAGTGTACTGCCTTTGTATTGAATAGAGCTTTTCATTGGAGAAAAAGAGTGGGAAGATATGTTACGTGCTTTCTGCAAGGGATCTCGTGATTACATGGGGTGATACTCCTGTGTACTGGGAATGGAAGTCTAATTCTGACTCCAGGTTTTCTTTCTTTTTACCTTTTTTTTTATGGGGTGATACTCCTCGAAATGTAACATGCTTTATACAAGTGATCTCATGGTTGTTTAATGATGATGGCTTATCTACAGATTTGCAGAAGTGGCTGAGCTTATTAATGTGTGTAGGCTTGAAATCATTGGCAAAATCAATACTTGTTTGCTGTCCCCAGCAACATTATACACAGCATACCTCGTGTTCAAGTTTGCATCAAGAATTTATGGATTGTATAACCAACCAGTAGATGTCACAATGAAACTGGATGGAGGCGAATATGGTGCACGGACTTGTAGCTGGAATGCGCAAGGAATGCGCCGGCGCAATACAACTGTAACTGTCAGAGGCCGGGTGCATTATCCAAAGGAAAGAGGAGATGGGTGGTTGGAGATGGAACTCGGTGACTTCTTTAGCACAGAAAAGGAGGATGGAGAACTGGAAATGAGGTTTTTTGACGACACTGATCACTGGAAACGCGGGTTGATTGTGGAAGGGATTGAGATCAGACCAAAAGATGGTAGGTGGATGAGCAAGTATTTCATATTTTAGTGAGAAAGTCTTTTCTTTTCACATTTCAGTGGGCAAATTAATTTTAGTGTCTTTAATGCATCACTTTCAAGAGCTTATGTTGGTCCTGCCTAACGATCTTGAATCCATCCTGTCTACTGCCCTTGATGGTTCTCTCCTGCTGTCGTCCGCTTCTTCCAAAAAAGAAGTCTACTTCAGTCTCTGTGACAATCCCATCATTGTTGACCATGGGAGAAAGGTTAAGTTCCTTTTTTTTTTTTTAATCCAGTTTGTTTCCTTTGAACGTTTTTTTTTATACAGGTCCATTTGTGTTTAATTTCTTGAATAGCTTTTTTTTTATTAAATTTTTTTTCTTGATCCAATTTACTACTAGATCAGTTGATAATTAATATATTCGTTAACCAATTTAAAAGGATCAAGCGAACTGCCATTAAGAGTTTTTGCTAGGTAATTTATTTCTTATTATTTTTTAGTCAATATTTGCAGATGAATTAATGTTGTAGTTTTAGCGGTTACGCTAATATTTGGTAAGATTATGATATTAGCAAACATGACAGCATCTGCAACCTTACTCTAGAAGAGGATTGCTATTATCAAAAGCTTATAATAATAAGGATGGATTATCAAGCCAAGTTGCATCAATAAAATAGTGCAATTTATATGCTGTTATCATTTGTGCTATGATTTATAGTTTTTTGTCTGTTATTAATATCTATAAATAAAAGCATTATTTGAGAGCAAAATAAAAAAAAAAAATGCATAATATGAGAGACTAAGAGAAAAATAGGGGCTGCCAAGGGTAGCAACCCTGTTGTAATGTGCAGTAATGTGTGTGAGCAGTGGGAGTTGAGTTTGAGTGAAGTGATCCTCCTCTCTATATATGTTATAACCCTTTCTCAGTTTCTCTCTAATAATATTGTTTTTTTTCGTGGATTTAGATGATTTGTCGAACCATGTTAAATATTATATCAGTATACTTAACCTTCAAAGAGTAATTATCAGTACATCACAGTCTAAATCTCTAATAATAATTTATTTTATAAAAGTCATAAGTTACATTAGAAATATTGCTTCTCTTACTGAGCTCTTAGTTGTCTATCATGAATTTCTAGTATATATGAGCTGCAGAAGATAAAAAAAGATGTTAATTTTGAGGGACTTTTCAAGTTAATTTTAGCATCAACCTGAGGCTCCTGCCATTTAAATTTCAATTTTTCCTGTGGAAAAAAATACAAGTAAAATGATGCAAATGAGGGGACTAGACTAGGGAGGATTGGAATAATGAGAAGTCAAGAAATTATGCGTCTTGTCCCAAAAGCTACGTGGTTGATTTGATTTCCTTATGCAGTGGACTTTTATGGTTTTATTTGGAGTATTGATTTATCTAATAGTGTACTGCCTTTGTATTGAATAGAGCTTTTCATTGGAGAAAAAGAGTGGGAAGATATGTTACGTGCTTTCTGCAAGGGATCTCGTGATTACATGGGGTGATACTCCTGTGTACTGGGAATGGAAGTCTAATTCTGACTCCAGGTTTTCTTTCTTTTTACCTTTTTTTTTTATGGGGTGATACTCCTCGAAATGTAACATGCTTTATACAAGTGATCTCATGGTTGTTTAATGATGATGGCTTATCTACAGATTTGCAGAAGTGGCTGAGCTTATTGATGTGTGTAGGCTTGAAATCCTTGGCAAAATCAATACTTGTTTGCTGTCCCCAGCAACATTATACACAGCATACCTCGTGTTCAAGTTTGCATCAAGAATTTATGGATTGTATAACCAACCAGTAGATGTCACAATGAAACTGGATGGAGGCGAATATGGTGCACGGACTTGTAGCTGGAATGCGCAAGGAATGCGCCGGCGCAATACAACTGTAACTGTCAGAGGCCGGGTGCATTATCCAAAGGAAAGAGGAGATGGGTGGTTGGAGATGGAACTCGGTGACTTCTTTAGCACAGAAAAGGAGGATGGAGAACTGGAAATGAGGTTTTTTGACGACACTGATCACTGGAAACGCGGGTTGATTGTGGAAGGGATTGAGATCAGACCAAAAGATGGTAGGTGGATGAGCAAGTATTTCATATTTTAGTGAGAAAGTCTTTTCTTTTCACATTTCAGTGGGCAAATTAGTTTTAGTGTCTTTAATGCATCACTGTCAAGAGCTTATGTTGGTCCTGCTTTGCATTTTTAGGTCCAGCATTTCTCAGAGTTTATGAAGTTATATATTCTATGAAATTCTCCTAAATCTGTGACCCATTTTCCGCCACATAGACTACGAGAGAAACCTCATAACGGTGAATGTCTGAAAAAATCAACCCAAATTGCAAAACCTTAAATATATATCTAGCTAGGGTTCTAAAAAGTTGGATATCAGGCTATATACTTCATTTTAAATTATGGTCTTTCAACAAGTTGGCTTCTTGATGTCATTTCTTTCTTTCCCAGTTTCCAGGGCAGCTAGTCCAAGCAGTTAAAGATTCACACACCGGACTACATCTGAAATGTGCAAGTTTACTTGGAGAAGCCGAGTTTGCACGCTGCTATTTTTGAATCAGATTCCTCAGTTTCCTAATTCCAACCACGCTGCTATTTTTGAATCAGAATCACTAATGGACAGGAGTCATTCTGTTGAATAATAAGTTAAAAATTATCCTAATGGATGGAAAGACTTGTCAAATCCATCACTTTATTATATAAACTCTATGTTATTTTGTTTTATAATCAAATACTAGTATAATTATAGGAGCTCTCAAGGAGTCTGTCGGGGGGTGTGCGAGCGTCGTCTGGTGACAATGAAGCTTTTATCATGACTTTTAATGAGGGGTGTTATATGTTGGAAAATTATGATTAATTTTTTAGAGTTGCCACCTAATATTATGGTTATTAGGAACCTCTGGTTTCTGAGAGTCTGAGTAAGAGATTTGTTGTGTAAGAGAAACACACATCACCTCTAGTACACCCTATATAAGATAAGTTGCATTGTTGTTTGATTGTTTTTTAAGTTGGTTTTCTATTTGTTGGTCTTATCTAAGACTCAAGACAGATCTCTCTTTACGAGAGAGTTTCTATTTTATCAGATTAAATCATAACTGTTCTAAAGTCTAAATTTTAGCATCAGATTTATTTACACTTTGTATCTTTAATACTTGAGGGTGTACTTTATCATGTAATTTTACACCCCATAAATATTAAAGTTTACATCTAGATCCTAAAAAAAAGATTGAAATTTTTTTTTTTGATATATTGGCCAAATCCTAATGGATAATTATAAACTGGTTACGATATTTATTTTTTTATATAAAAAATGAAAAAGATGCAATTTTTTTTTTATTTTTTAATGAAAAATATGATTGGAAAAATTTTAGATTTTGGCTGTATGCATGAAAATATTTTTTAAAAATAGAAATTGATTTAAAATATATTTTTTTAATTTTTTTAAATATTTTGGAGAAAACTGGATATTTTAATACCGGATTTATATTTTACAGTGTAAATATACAAACCGATATTATGTAAAATTAGTAGAAGAATATTTAAGAAAATTATAATTTTTTTTAAGAATTTTTGAATTTTTTAAAGAAATATATATATATATATATATTAAAACATGTGGGCTGAGCTTAGAAGAGGTGGGCCAATATCAACCCAAAATCTTGTTTTTTGGGCCGAGCCGGACCCAACCATTTGGACTGGGGTGTGAGTGGCTCGACCCAAAATGAGGGCAACTAATTAATTAGTTGCTGCATACATAAATGAATTCTGCATGCAGTAGCCACTGCGGGGGAGGATGAAGAACGAGAAAGAGACGAAGTAGGGAGAAGGAAGATGACTGGCGTGGGGTCTTGGTCATGTAGTTGGTGGAGGTTTTGGTGGAGCAGACAGTGGCGGTGTTGCCTACTTGTTATCGAGAAAGAAAGAAGAAGAAGCAGAAAAAGGAAATCTGTAGAGGAGGGAGGACCTCGCGGTGGCTCTTGGTGGTCAATAGGTGGTCTCTTGTGGCGGAGCTGGTGGTGTATAAGCTATTGGTGGCTTTAATTGATGGATGGAATGGAGGAGAGAGAGAGGGAAGGAAAAGTTGCAGAAACAGGGGCATAAGGGTTGATTTTTCTCCGATTTTGTACCCTAATTGCTTCTCTCTCAGGCCATCAAATCCACCTCTATTTATAAGCAATGGAAGAGGGCAATCTTGTCTACTCTTGGGTAAAATTTCAGCCTTTGATTCTGTTGGAAAGGATCCTAACCGTTGGTTCAAAGTAGGCATGGTGTACTGTCAAATCTACTGAAAAAGCTGCTTAAGTTCTCATGTTTAGGCCGGATTCTACGCAGATGGGTTGTCATTCTGATTGAACTATTCACACCATGATGTAGAGGAACTGCAGATGATCATTTTCATGTAAGTTTGGTTAAATTTGGTGGACGTTTGGTGCATTAAATGCACCTGCAAAATAGGCAACCGAAGCAGCTTTACCCGGGTAAAAAAAGAAGATAATGAATAGTGACCAGATGATGCGTCGTCTAGTCCTTTCTCTCTCCTTTTATTTGGTAAAACGACGTCGTTTTGAACTGAAATATGAATTTTTACTAAATTTCAATTTATTCCCTTTTCTTTTAATTTCTTTCAATTGAACCTCTAATTGACTCTAAACTTTGGATTCAATGCAATTAAGCTCCTGATGAACTTCAATTAGAACCCTAAAGTTAGACGCCTTTTACAATATGGTCATTAGTCTCGGATATTGTCAATGTAACCCCTAATTGACCATTAAACTTTTAATTTTTTCAATTTTGCCCCCGATTTTGTTAATTGAGCACCCATAGTTTGTCACCTGTTGCATAATGGTTTTTGGTATTGGATTTTATCAATTTAACCTCTAATTGACCCCAAGACTTGAATTTTCTTGCAATTTTGCCCCCGATTTCAATCAATTAACTTGGTAAAAATTAAATTTGATCTCTTAAAATTTCAATATTCTCAATTAAGCCCAAATTAAGCTCCCAAACTTAATTTTTCATCAATTAAGCCCCAAATAAAATTAATTTGACCTATTTAAAGTATAATTAAGTCCTTACATTTAATTAAATCCTTCAATTGAGCTCAAATTAATTCTTAAACATAATTAAAATTTAATTTGGCCCATGATTAAATCAAATTGGCCTATTAAAAATTTAATTATGTCATTGCCTATTAAAAATTTAATTATGTTATTGAACTTAATTTTTATGCAAATTCATCCAATAATAATTTAATTTGACCTTGAATTTGTATTTTTTATCCGTTCTTGGGCATAATGGGGTACAATTAGGCCTTGAATTTACTCCAAGAATTACAGCTTGATTTTCCGGACTGCTTTCTCCACATTGCCAGCCATTATTTTATTTTTTTAATTTTTAATTTTGAAAAAAATTAATTTTTAGGGAATAACCAAGAATTAGGTTATGATAGAGTCAAGGCTTAGAAGACTATCATATTATTATTATTATTATTATTATTATTATTACTATAACAGTGAAATATCAAGTCTCAAGCACATTTTAGTCTTTGAAATTCTTAAGTTTTTTTTTAATTTTTTTAGTTATCTCGATCTTATAATCCACATCGCGAGTTTGTCGATTTACCATGTTAAGTTGAGTCATTTATTTATTTAATTTTATTCTTCAACATCGCATTGATTGAGATTTATGAAGAATTTTCACTATAAACTGCATTGTGTAGTTCATAATAAAAGGCTTAGAAAGGAAAAGAAAAAGAAAAAAAAACACAAATTCATACACCATGAGTTAATTTTTTTTCTTGCATAAAAAATATATAAAAAAGCTAAGATTTAAGATTATTAGGTCTTTCTCCAAAGATATACCCAAAAGCTTTGGATCTAGCGACAACGCTTGACTCAAGAATAATATTTATAATATTAATAATAATATTGAACTTACATGACTTAAGTTTAAATGAGTTTGACAGCAACACTGGACCTAGGAGCATTGAATGTGGGTCTGGCTATAAGGTCGTGTCATAAAAATATGATAATTAAATAAATTAATTAAAAATAAAAAAAACAAAGAAAAAAACAAATAGGAAGAAAAAAACTAATGAAGAAAAAGAAAAAAAGTTCTGAATTAACCAGGATAACCCTTCAAACCTAGAATTCGCGTCATGAAAGTTTGATAACTAAATAGAAAGAAAATTGATGGGTTTATCCAGAATTAACTTGGTTAACCCATCTAACTAAGTTAACTAGTCAATCTTAAGATATGTGTTATAAAAATTTAATAATTAAATATAAAGAAAGTTAACATTAACAAACTAAACTAAACAAAAAAAATAATTAAAAAAATCTAAGTTAACTTATCAAACTGATTAACCCATCAAACCCGGGATTTATATTATAAAATTTTAATAACTAAATAAAAAAATTTTGATATTAACAAACTAAATCAAACAAAAAAATCATTGAAAAAAAAAAGTTTTGTAATATAATATAATATAATAATAATAATAATAATTATAATAATATAATATATTAATAAAGAAAAAGTAAAAGACGTGGGGAAAGTTACAATACTTTTCCCATGCCTTTTAGAATATTCTGTAAAGTCTCCATGCTTATACAGTTTCTTCCTCTTTTTTTTTTTTTTGCTG